TAGTCAGTAAGGTGGAGGGTTGGCTAAGGATTTTCGTCTTGTTTTTCATATAAATAAAATGTAATTGAATTTAAGCAAAAGATATGTATTTCAGTCAGTAATTCAAATGAATAAAAACTTTGTATTTCAATTTCATCCTCAAACCCATGAATTTCAATTTCAATTTCAAAATGAACTAGAGATGATTCCCCGCGTTGTGGGCTGTATTTTTAAAATTGGTTAAAAATATTTTTTAATAAAAAATATCTATATATATAAGTTATTATAAGTTATTATATTTGAAAGATTTTATAAATTGAAATTGTTATTTTTAAGCTTTTTTGACCCAACTTCCAAAGTTGTTTGGAATATATTGAATGTTTTTAGCTATAAGTATATTATATTCTTATATTATAGTAATACATATACAAAATTTTATTTAATCCTATTAAATTTTATTATACTTTACACAAAAATTCAAGTATAAGAAATTTACTTGAATAGATCTTTATAATTTGTATTGTTTCTTTTGCTGGTGAGATCATCCTCCGAAAAGAGTTTCTAATTTTCTGCTTAAATAAAATAACCATAGATCATATCTTAGCATTCATAAAAATAAAAATTCTTGAAATGTCACGAAGCTTATTTTTAATTAAAATTTTATCTTGTCTCCCTCTTTGAAGCTACAACCACAAAGCACACCATTTTAATGCATTGGGCCATGAACGTATGATATTTTCTTCCTACTTCCAAGTTCAAAACTTGTCCTTAGGGGTGGGCAAATCATTCTACTTGTCCCTTACATGAAAATTCAAATATAAGAAATTTGCTTGAATAAATCTTTATAATTTGTATTGCTCCTTTTGTTGGTGAGACCATTGTCCAAAAAGAGTTTCCAATCTTCCGCTTAAAGAAAATAACCATGGATTATATCACAATGTTTACAAAAATAAAAATTCTTAAAATGTGCTAAACACGAAACTTATTTTAATTAAAATTTTATTTTGTCCCCCTCTTTGAAGCTACAACCACAAAGCACACCATTTTGATGCATTGGGCCATCAACAGATGATATTTCTTCCTACTTCCAAGTTCAAACCTTGTCCTTAGGGTGGGCAAATCATTCTACTTGTCCCAAACACTAGAAATTGTCAAATGAAAGAAAACCAAACAATTATAACAAATGATGAATAAAGCAATACAAAGGAATCTTAAAATTAAGAAAGCAAAAGCCAAAATCCAAGAAAGAAAAGGAGAAAAAATATCCTGGTAATGAGAAGGACATCTATTGTTGAAGGAACAATTTTCATCGAAGTACGGTAAAGCAATCATGCCTAAGGCGAATTCAAAAATCAAACTATCATTAATTTTACATAGTTGAAAACCAATTAGCTCTTATTCCTTAGAAAAATTGCAATCGCTTATATCAACAACAATTGAAAAAAAAAAAATAAAACTTCAAATTACAATAGTAACCAAAGTTAGCAATGATATTGTAGTTTTCACAACACTATAAGACATCTACATGCAACATCAACCCACTTCATCATTCGCTCCCAAAGGGGTTTAGTGAGCTGATCCCTTTCTCTTGTTGCTGGAAGTTCCTTTCTCCTAAAAAAGAAAAACCAAATTCCCTTAAATTGCTTCCCAGCTGCCAATAAAGAGAAATTAGGAAAAAAAAAATCAAACAACAAAACAAACATCAATAATGCATAGCTTTATACCCTCCCAAAATGGCTATACGTTTTTTTTGTTTACAATTTCTTGAGAAACAAACATAAAACAAAAGCAATCAATTTCTCATTTGCAACAATTACTCACATCTCAAATAAATATGCTTCTAGGCAGCTAAAGGTTTTCCAGGGCAAGATTTTTTTTTTTTTTAAGAAAGGACTTGGGTTTGAGCTAAGTTTTTTTCGTACAAAAGCATTCCATTGTGACAACAGCAGCTTGGGTATTGTTAAACCTTGTTAAGGTTTTGGAACCATATCATCATCTGGGTACTGGTTTAGGTTCCTGTCACACAATCACTGAATTTAGGGAAAAACTTGGCTTAAACCAAGTAAAAAAACTTTAAAAAATAAAAATAAATTGTTTCTTTAAATTATTGATCAAAATAAATTATCAATTATTTAACACTTTATATCATCATACCTTTTCTTTTTATTAAAAGCATGCTTAGCTTGTAAATGGATTCTTGATGTATGATGATGTTATACGATAAATAAATAATGAATGATTTATTTTTATTGATAATTTTAAAAAATAATTTATCTTCATTATTTTTAAAGGTTGGATATGTCCCAGGGGTGAATTTGGGTTCAGCCAATCATCTTTGGGAATGATGAAAGCAATAGGAAGATGTTGAAACATTTGAATGTAAAGGCCTTAGGAGAAGAAAACGGCAGTTGCAAGCACATCTACAAATATTACTTTTGTCCAATGAAAGCACTGAATGTGCTCTCTTGATAAACGCAGCAGTAACGATTTTGCGTTTTCTTTAACTGTCATCTAACACAACGCAAAAACAAGCTGAATGTGTTTTCTTAGGATACAAATAGAAAATAAAGATGGACAATGTATTATTGGCTGCTGAGTTAGTGCGGACAGAGCAGAGGCAATGACAAACTAATGGGCAAGTTACGAAACCGTTAGGTTTAGGCAGGTAAAAGCTTACTTTTAGCAACTCATTTTATTAAATTTGAAAGTTTTAGTCTCCCATCTTATATTATTATGATATTTTTAACCCTTTACTTTATTAGATTTGTAAGTTTTAACCTATCACTTTATATTATGATACTTTTAGCCTCTTACCTATTAAAATCAAAGAAAATAGCTCTCACTTTGTAATATTTTATTAGTTTTGTTAACTAACTATTAATTTTATTAGTTAACTGTTAGTTAACCGGTAACTAACAAAAATATTCTTTTAGCAAACAGAGTTAATAGAACTAACTTTATAATATTTTGTTCATTTTATTAATTGACTATTAGTTAATTGTTAGTTGACAAAAACTTACTTTTAGCTAACAGAGTTAATAGTCAGAATACAGTGAAGGTTATTTTCTTTGATTTTAATAGGTGAGGACTAAAAACTACAAATCTAGTAAAGTAAGGGGTTAAAAGTGTTATAATATAAGATAAGGGGTTAAAACCTTCAAATTTGATAACATAAGGGGCTAAATGTAGGTATTAGCCGTTTAAGCATGGCTAATTCCCTAAAAGTCGAATGGAATTTCCTTATCTTTTTTTAGTTGGGGGGCTAAAACCCTCACATTTTGTTAGTTGAGGGGCATATTAAGGGCCTAAGCCATAAAATTTTTACAATCTTTAAACCCTGTTCTCCAGCTCTGTCCATAAACCCTCGTCGAACTCTTCTGCAGAATCTAAATGTCAGAGCAGAGCTAAGATGACATCTATTAGCAGAACCTTAACAAGGTTCCGTGCTGCAGGATCCCTATACATTTTTCCCGCCAATCATTTAGTCCCAAAGATCTCCTTCTCCTCAGATGCCCGTGCCATCTGCTCCGTCTCTGATCCCTCATCAACAGCTCCCTCTCCATCTCAATCTGCAGGTATTGTGAAATAATTCTTCGATGGAGTTGCTTTTTTGTGTTTTCTACTTGGGTTTATCCTCAAATTTGATAATAATTTAAGTTGTACATGTCAATATGAATGTGGATTATGGTAGATAAACAGAGAGGATCAAGATGGTCAAGATGGCTCCTCTTCCTGCCTGGAGCTATCACTTTTGGGCTTGGAACTTGGCAGATTTTTAGAAGGCAAGAGAAGGTCACTTTTTCCACCTACATATATACACTTATTCTTTGTTGGAATTTGTTATTGATTCATTTCCTTGTTGTTTCATTCACATATGTTTCTTCTTTTTATATAAAATCATCTTATTCAGTTGAACTGTTTAGTGTTTCCCTGCCCACTTATTTTTATAATGTAATGATGTTGGTTTTCCATTTAATAGCAAAAGGAAAGTGATCTGTGAAGTGCTTTGAACTAATATTCCAGCATTTCCACAGATATAAACAGCATTCATACATGCTTGAATTGAGATGCATTATAAATAATTTAGAAAAGTGTTTGGTGAATGTTTTTTAATAATCCCTTTTCTCCCATGCATCTTTTGAAGACCAATGACAATGGTTTGTGGTAGTAAGAGAAAAAAGGAGACGGCAATTGACTAGTCTGAGTTTGGGATATGTACTTATGTCTTTCCACTCAAATCAAGGGACAAAAGAAGTAAAAAATGGGAGGCGAAGGTCATTCACCTTTTTTTAATTTTTTAATTTTTTAATTTTTTTATTATTATTATTTTTATGTAGTCATTAAAAAGTGCCGAGTTGAGGAAGAGTTCACATAACACATTTGTTAATGCATAAGATGAATATATAGATATTCTTATCAATCGATCAGCTACAATGAGCTTGTTGTTGCTGCTATTTTCTTCATGTTCATCTCTTAAAAATAATTTTAGATTAACGATAAATCTTTGACATCGCTGCTATAGAGGTCAGTGAAACCTAAGCATAAGAAATTAATGATGTTTAACGTTACTTCTTTGAAAAACTAATATTTTGCAGTTTATAATCCCAGTGGTCTTCTTATTTTAAAGTAAGCCTTAAATATCTTATATTTATAAGTTTACTCTGTGTTATCTCTGTGATAAAGGCATTTACACCTTGTGCTGTTGGGGTTGATTCCTTTGCAAAGAAGTCAATATAAACATCTGCCCCCTGATTCACATCTAAAGAAACTATTTTGTTTCGGCATTTATGAATCTGTAAATGCATTTTGTTTCCTCTGCATATGCTGATGTACATTAAAAATCTCCTTCTCTGATATTTCATTTTGTTAGATACATTTTCCTATCCTTGCAAACTTTCATGGATGTCTATAGGTTTTAGTGAATGGATTCCTTTGCTTGATGACTTCTGCTTCAAACAGATTAAGACATTGGAGTTTAGACAGAAGAGGTTGGAAAAGGAACCTCTAAAATTCAAGGAGATATCTCCTTCAAGTGAAAGCTTGGATTCTTTGGAGTTTCAGAGGGCAGAATGCAAGGGTGCTTTTGATGAAGAAAAGTCAATTTATGTCGGCCCTCGTTCTAGAAGCATTTCTGGGGTGACTGAAAATGGGTATTACTTGATTACACCGTTAATGCCAAACTCTGGTGACCCTGGGAGGTAAGTGAGGGTTTTTGTGCTTTCGGCATTACTATAAAATTAACTGTTAATGATGTGGGACACATTAGGGGGTATGGTGGGTTTAGGGATTTAGTGGCTGTTTAAAGCAAATTTATGCTGTGAGCAGTAAAATAGGGTTTAAAACAGCTGTTTAAGGTATGGAAAAAAAGGGAACGACAGAAAAATAACAAGAGAGGTAGGAAAATCCTGGGAGTCACATCTAGGTTTTTTTTCGGCATCACACCTAAAGGGAGTAAAACCCTTAAGCATACCACCTAAGGCTAGTTGCATCACACAACCAGGATTGCATCACACAATGTCAACTTGCTGCAAATTCTGAATATTTGATTAACTGAATAATGAAAAAAGCTACATGCATATTTCTATAGTAACTACTACAACTACTACTAGAATTCTTATTCTAATTAGACTAGAACTTAGGCTCTAAAAATAAAATTACCTAAATAGTAAAAGACTTATAATAAGACTCTTAATGAAAGACCGAATCCTAATAAAAGTAGGAAAACTAAAGATAACCACACTCAAATAAAAATAATTACTTAAGAATCCTAAAA